GTTTAACATAACTAATCAATAAAGGTACTTCATCACAAAAATAAAATTAAGGACAAAAATCATATATTCATCTCAATAGATGGAGAGGAAGTCTTCTACAAAATTCAGCATTTTTCATGAAATGACTAAGGATAGAAGGATTTTACAACAATTCCATTCACAATAGGAAAAAAAAAACCTCTCAGCTTAGGGAAGACCTTTCATGTTCATGCATAGACAGAATTAATATTGTTAAAATGGCCATATTACCAAAAATGATGTATAGGTTCAGTGCAATCCCCATCAAAATGCCAATACCAATGACATTCTTCACAGAATTAAGAAAAAAGGTCCTAAAATTCATTTATAAGAATAAATAAAAGACCCAAAATAGCCAAAGCAATTTTAAGCCAAAAAAAAAAAAAAAAAGAAAAAGAAAAAAAAGCAATGCTGGAGACATCATGATACTTGACTTTAAATTATACTGTGGAGATATAGTAACAAAATCTGCACTGTACTGGCAGAAAAACAGACATATAGACCAATGGAACAGAATAGAAAACACAAAGACAATTGCACATAGACACAGTCATATGATATTTGATAAAGGCACCAAAAATATACTTGGAAGAAAAGATAGCCTTTTTAACAAATGATGCTAGGAAAACTGGTTATCCATAGGTAGAAGAATGAGACTAGATCCCTCCCTCTAACCTGCACAAAAGTCAACTCAAAATGGATCAAAGACACAGGAATTAGAACAGAAATTTTGCAATTTGTAGAAGAAAATGTAAGGACAACAACCCAACACATAGGCATAGGCAATGACTTCCCCAACAGAACCTAAAGCTCAAGAAATAATACCAGGAATTAATAAATGGGATGGCATCAAATTAAAATCTTCTGCACAGAAAACAATTAGTAGGAACAGAGAGCCTACAGAATATAAGAAAATCTTAGCTAGCTCCCCTTCTGACAGAGGATTAATACCCAGAATATCTAAAGATCTCAAAAATATTACCAGAAAAGACCCAACTAACCCAATCAATAGATGGGTAAATGAACTAAAGAGACACTTCTCTAAAGAAGAAATATATATGGCCAACAATATATGAAAAAGTGTTCAACAATTTAGCAATTAGGGAAACGCAACCACAGTGAGATTCCATCTCATTCCAGTTAGAATGGCAGCCATTAAGAATGTAAGTAATAAATGCTTGAAAGAATTTAGTGTAAAAAGGATAGTTTTTTATTTTGTGGTTGAACATTCATTTATGAAAAGATGTGAATGTCCAACAGATTAAAAAATGCTCACTGAGCTACACCCTCATTCCTTTTAACTTTGAGAAAGGGTCTACCTAAGTTGCTGAGATCTCACCAAATTTCTGAGGCTGACCTTGAACTTGGAAACTCCACCCTCACTAAACCCCTTTTGAAGAGTGTCTTGCTAATGAGCTACCTAAACCATCACTTTTTAGTTCATTCAACAATTTCAGGAACATTTATACGCGGAAGCATCATCGTTTGAATACGGGAACCATCATATTAGCGGTATCACTTCAGAAAGTGATACAGCTTCTCAGGACCTCAATTCTCTTTGCAAACTTGTGTACGGAATGGGCAGGAAAGCAGAATACGTGGCCTGTGCACAACAGAATTTCCAGAGGCAAAGACTGCTCTTTTGATTTCCCCAAGGGGCTGAACCAAGAAGAGCAAGTGGACTTTTCAGATGGTGCTCGATCGGCACCTACATTCCAGGGACACTCAGTTGACGCCCAGAAATTTTAGTCGCAACCCGCCCCCGGTGTCAAAGCGTGGTGGGAGAAGCTCCGAAGGAGGAGGAGAGGCCTGAGGAAGCCCCTCCCGGTTAACCTCTAGCCGGAATTCCCCACCGCTCATCTCCACCCAGAGTGGGGCTCCACGCCCACTGCGCTCCCCACGGACCGCTGCCTCACCGCCCACGCGGTGACGTCATCGCGCGGCGGCTGGGCGTCCGGACCCGCCGCCCCAGKAGTGGGAGCGGAAACCCGGGGATCGGCCGCGCGCAGAGCCCCGGGAGCTCGAGCTCGCGCACCTGGGGAAAGCCGGCCCGAGGCAGTGGGCATGCGCAAGGCTGCCGGGTGGCGCAGGCGCCCTGCCTCACTCACTCGCGGAGATCCGGTTCTTCAAGGTGGAGCTTGCGGCGAGTCTTGGGCTGTCCTGGCCGCTTGGGATCCTCGGGACCAGAAGATGCGGAGCCAGCCCGACTCTGGCTAAGGGCGGGTTTGCCTCCGGTGTAGGGAGAGGACGGGTGCTCGGATCCTGCTGTGCATCTATGCTGGGCACGCCCCAAGAGTTTGGGGGTTATTTACAGGAAGGTGAAATCAAACAGCATCGGTGTATTGCAATTCGTTTATCCTAAACCAAGAGCACTCTTAGGACACATGGCCAGGGCCCGGGGGCCAGTTCTCCCGGAAAATGACAAGATAACTGTGTGTGGACACCGAGCAAAAGCTTTCCCTATTCTCTCTTCTTCCGCCACCCAGTGTGTCGGGTACTCCTGGGTCCCCAACTTACAGTGGGGGAGACTGTAACAATTTACAGTGTAAGTGGGGAAACTGAGGATGTAACAGCTGAAAAGTGTTGGAGTTGCGTTTTCTACCAGTTTTTCTATCGACTAGAAAAAAATCAGGGCTGACCATCAGAATACTGAAGTCACGAGTGGGTGAAAATGAAACAGTAATGAATAGTAAATCTTAAGTTTGGACGTTAAGAAGTAGAAGCAGTTGACAAGGCAAAGGGTCTCCAGATATATTTCGAGTGGGATTTGTCAAGAGGAAGGGAGAGAAGAAAGCTTTTGGGTGGCAAGAAAAGGGAAAGGCAAAGGAAACCTGAGAAGAAAGGGAAGCTATTGCTGCAGCTGGAGCCTTGTGTTTATGTTTGGCTTGCAAATAGAAACGTCTATAATTCTAAGGATGGGCTTTTATTCCAAAGCAATGAACTTTCTCTTTTCTGTACCTAGGTTTATTCTTTGATGCACAGTGACACTACACCTCTGTTCAACAATAAGTCACATATTATTATTATTCATTTAATAGTCAGAAACTTCTGTATCTATGAAAAAGATAGTATATAGATAGGTTTATTCCTGGCCCATGCCAGGCTAAGAGGTCTTTTCAGTGATTGCTGGTTCCGTATCCTGGCTCCAGTCATGCGAAGAATAAACATTTCTAATTCAAAATCCAGTAGCTTTTCAATGCCAATACCTTGTCCCTATCTTTAAAAGAAGAAGAAGAAAAAATGCTACATCATCTTTGTTTAAAGAATCTTGGCCCCAGTGATTTGCTAATTGTTCGTGGTTTTATACTGTTATTACTATAACACAGTTTGCACTGCCCAATTTAGAAACTGATTACTACCTTGTGTTAGCCTCTAATTGTTTAATGGTTGTAAATTTTATCTGCTAGGCAAGACCAAGATTCCCTAGTCAGGGACTGCAGCTATCTCATATCTGAAAGCTCATCTAATTGACTTTCCAAGTCTCTCTCTCTCTTAATTCTCTGTGGAATTCCCAATGCCCAGTTCCTTGCCTGCCACATACTAGGTGCTTGGTAAATCCTAAATAAATGAAATGATGCTTTTTGAAGAAGAGGAAACAAGTCTGTTATTTTCTCTTTTCCTGTTCTCCTAACCAAAGTATCTCTTTGTTGGCAGTCAGCAAATGTATGATTTCATTGCTGTGCCTTAATCTTTCTGTTGCTCTATAAAGAATTGCCATTGAACACCATGCCTGCAAGAAGTCTCTCATAAAATGATTGTTGATAGATTAACCTCAAAGATATTACCGATTCTTTCTTTTTGAGTGGGCCTTGGTCTGCCCACAATGAACAATACTCATGGTTATTTTAGGCTGCCTAAGAAATTCTTCAGAAGATTGTACAATGTGAGTATCTTCTTGACTTTGGGAAGTAACAAAACCAATAGAAGAAGCCCAAAGCCAATAGCAAAACCCAATAATAAATGGGACCTATGTGCTTAAGAGTGCTGTTTTCAAAGTCTTAGATAACCTTGTGCTCCTGGGATAGAGAAAGCCTCTATGTGTATTGACATCTTATATTTTGGGGTCTATAGTTGTAGCTTAGCAATAGGGTGCTTAGCATGCTTAAGCCTTGGGTTCCATTCTGAGAGTTATCACCACTACCCCTCGCACAACCCACCCCATACATATTCTGGTTCTTTTTTCGTGAAACCATTCAAGTCCATTATGAACAGAATCTACTAGAGAAACTTGATCTTAGATGCATAAGAACGTAGTTGCATTCCAGGTTTACTCTACACTATAGTTGTTCTGGCAACCAGTTCAATTGACAGGGAAGACTGGGACTGGGTTAGGTTCAGGTATGGGCAAGTAAGAAGCTAGAGTGAATTCTTTTAGTATTTCCATTCAGTAGCTGGGATCTTGGGAGAAAGCTATTTAACATTTCCGGCCTTAGTTACCTCATTTGCAGTATGGCGATGATAACAACCATACTTTTAAAGTTACTATGTGCAATTTGTACAGGCTTAGAGCAATGCCCCGCAAGCTGGCACCTGGCATTTTTTTTTTTTTTTTTTTTGCTCAATGTTTGACAAGTAAATAAAAAACTAGCATATAATAACTTCCACTCTACATAGCTGGCCACTTGTAAACCCCACCTACATTGAAGTCAGGGGGACTCCGCTGTTTTTCAGATACGAGCGTTTCTTGAGCCATGCAATTATTTTTTCTGCCTTCCAATCTGCTGTAACTCATCCAAGCGACTTTGGACGTCGGTACTCTTCTCTAGGTTTGCGGCCGCCCCAACTTTGAATCGTGGAGGAGGTGTGGATGGGGGAGGGGGACAGACCGCCTCCTTCCCCGCCCCCTATCCTTTTGCCTAGCTGCCGAGTTAGGAACCACCCAGCCTCACTCACAGCTGTCCGGGAACGCCTCTCGGGGCCGGGCTGGGCACTACGCACGCGCAATGCAGTAGCACCGCGCCTGCGCTGTGGAAGGGCTGAGGGAGGCGGGGGATTGGTATGCGAGCTAATGTGTGAGGGGAGGGAGGCGTCCCGGCCGAGCGTGGTACTACGACRAGCGCGGGCCGGAGGGGGCGGGGGGATGCGCCGCGGCGGCGGCGCGGGCACTGGGGCTGGTGTTTGGCCGCGACAGAGCAGCGGATCCCGGTGTCGCCGCTGCAGCAGCGCTGGTTCCGCACCGGGCCCCAAGACGCCGTACCTTTCAGCCCCCTACTTTTTTTTTTTTTTAAATAACCGGAACCAATGAACACAGCTGGCACCCGAGCTCTGGAGGCCGCCGGTGCCGAGGGGACCAGGCTGGCGCCCGGCGGGAACCCATGTCTGAGGCGGCGGGGGCGGCCCGCGGTGTCACCCGCGGCGGCGGCGCCTTGCGAAGCGGGCGGGTGGCCGGCGGCCGGGTCGCCGCCGCGCTTTCCCTTCGCTTCTCATCCCGCCGCGACTCTCGGCCCGGCCTCGGGCTGGTTGCAGCGGCAGCGCTGGGCTGCAGTGCTGGTGTTCGGGCTGCTGGTGGCCGGAGCGGCGGACGGATGCGAGCTGGTGCCAAGGCACCTCCGCGCGCGGCGGGCGGCGGGTTCTGCCGGGGCAGCCGCCTCTTCTCCCGCTGCGGCGGCGGGCGGCAGCTCGGCGCTTCTGACAGGTGAGGGCCAGGGGGCGACTGGCGGGGCGCGGCGGGCTGCGGCGGGACCCCCATCTCCGGAGCGTCCCGCGTCCCGGCGGGCGCCGGTTACTCGACGGTCCGGGCCATTGGGTGATGCCTAGCTGGGCGCTCAGACGCTGGCTCCCTGGCGGCTGCTCCGTCGCGGTCCCTTACACTTCGGTCGCCTTCCTTTTCTCACCCCGCCCTCGACTGAGCCTCTCGACGGCATTCGCTTCCCCGCCCTTCTTTTGGGTTCCTTGCTCTCCCAAGCTAAGCAATGCGGTAGTTTCTCTTTCGTGCTACAAAAGAGCCACCAGGGTCTGCAGGGTACTGGGCTATTTTTTTTTTTTTTTAAGCTGCTAGAAAATAAGTCGGCAGCAGCAGCAGCAATGCGGTATGATTCCGTGCTGCTGCTTTTGCAAAGGCAGCTGGCAGCGAGACTCACCAGTTGAAACCCCGTTGAGCACAGCGTCCCAGGGGAAGCTGCTAAAGAGGATTCTTTGAGAGCCATAATACCTAGTGGTATTAGTGGTTCCGTATTAGTCATAAAGAAACGTCTAAGTCGAATGCATATTTTTTGAGGGGGGGGGGAAGGTGGCCCTTTTAAAGGATGGAAAGTTATTTGTTGGTGGTGGTAGCATCGCTGGGTAACAGAGGGTGCAGAAATCTCAGCAGGTTACCAGAAAGACACCTGAAAATTTACTAAGTGCCAGATATTTGGGACTTGTATTTGAGCAGCACAGTTCTGGTAGGTTGCAGCAGCATCTTTTAAATTGGAATGTTCTAGCAGTTATTGACAACTTTGAAATATGTTTGGTAAGGCTAAGTCGAAATTTGTATCACTTTAAAGCCTTTCATTGTCTTGTGTAACTAATCTGTGGTGGTTTAAGTAATAATATAAAGATCCTGAAATGATTTCTTTGGGAAAAGTAGTGGCACAAAAGTAATGTTTATATTTATTAATACTTTATTTATTTTAATAGCTCTGTATAGGTTTTCTGCACTAATTGCTAGGTTAAAGAGGAAAAAGTAAACTGGAACAATATGACCCATTAGTATTTAACCGAAGTGATAGTCCAACAGGCATCTAGAAGTTACTAACAGCTGCTCTGAGAAATGCTCATGAGCTATATTCTTTAGAACTAAGCAGCTATTTTCTGGGATATATGACAGGATATTTACTCTTTGAGTGAGAAAAAGGATGTTGGTAAACTTTATTAAGCACTTTAAAAATTGTAGGGCATAGAACATAATGATCAGCTTATTTAATTTACTCGAAACATGTCAAGCTCTATTAAATGAAACTTGAAACAGCAAATCTATCAGTGATTTATTTGGATGAAAGATTACAGAATAATAATATGAGGAGCAACGTGTCTTTGAGTTAGAGGATAGATTGATAGTTATATGCTTCAATAGTTTTTACTCTTCAAATAAAAACATGGTAAGTATCATAGTGAAGAACAGTGATTCCCAAAAAAGTGGCTAGATAAGACTGTAATTTGAAGGTTTAATGCTTCATGTGGGAAGGGGAGGATAATTTTTTGGCTTCTAGAAGGTATAGGAGTGTGATTCTTGCTTTCTCAAGCAGAAAAATTTGATCAATAAATAGTTGAATAATGCTTTATTAAAAAGCAATTGGCAGAAAGACGACCAATTCAGAATTTCAGCATTTATTGACTACTAGTAAGTATATATGTCCATCATATCAAGAAAATTACTTCAGATGGAATTTTATTTTAATAAGCTGTTTATAATCCTTCCTTGTAAGATTTATGTTTCTGTAGTTGTTTATGACATTTTGGAAAAGGCAGTTCTTATTGGGAAAAAATGTGACAATAACACAAAATGAATTTGTGCTGTAGTGTTTTAAAGTAAATTTACTAAAATAATGTCAACCTAGGAATTATTTCTAATGTTCTTAATCTTTCCTTTTGTTGCGATATTGATTTTAACAAGTTAATAATTTCCATTTAAAGTTTAAGGTTATAAAACTACACAGTATACAAGTTGAATTGTGGTAATTTTATTAAGTTTATGTAAAAATAGTCAGTAGCATTTGTATCTTGGAAAAGGTAAATTGAAAAACTGATGAAATCAGAACATATGGAAAATTGCCTTGAACCCTGTGGACTCTCTAGAACTCCTTCCCATTCTTAAGAGTGTATGAGAAGTGCTTTCATCTCGGGTTCCATTTGTAAATGTTGTGCTAAGCCCAGAGTATAATTTATTAGTGCTATTGTACACTTCAGGAAGTAGAGCTATAGACCAAACTCATAAAATACTGCCATGTCACACTCTAGGCAGTGTTGATGGATAGAAATGGAGTAGAATATCTATAATAAATCTAAATTTCATTTTGAAAATTGAAAATTCTTGAAAGAATTGTGAAAAAATTGTTCTCTCTGGCTCCTGATTAAAAACTGTCAATATTCTTAATATCTCTGTAAAATGACAGCCAGAGTCACTTTTCTGTTTTCCTCTCCAGATTGATACTTCTTAGGAGCTGCTGATAACATGTAGAAAATATTCTTTTCCACTGAAGTTTGCCTCCCTAGGGTTTTACTTTAGTGTATTTTAAGAAGAAATTGCCTTTATATCATCTGTTTTGTGCTTAATTTTGAGCAAAGTCTTTTTTGTAAAGAGACAGGTGATAACACATCATCAAAATAAATATCCATTAGCATAATTAGAAAAGGTTCATATCTTTTCCTTTTTTATATTACAATTTCAGAGTTCAGTGTGGAAATGTTTGATAATGTGGGACCACTATTTATAATGTTACATAGTAAATATTTTAAATCTTATGTGTTTGTATATTTGTTATTTGTTATTTTTTTTTTTTTAGGGCTCTTACTTTGAAAGAGTGATTGAAACATAAAGGGAGTTAGGGACTGGTGACTTTTAGCTTGGTGATTATATTCTAAAGCAGTACTTTAATAACTTAAAACATTACTTTTCTATCTTTTTGCCTAACAGACATAGAATCAGGTAGTGATCTCCTTGGAAAGTGATTGATCTTATCCAGATATGGTTCCTGAGAAATAGTTTATGAAAGAATAAAAACTGTATATGTATAAACCACATTATTATTATTATTATTATTATTATTATTATATACATTTTTTGGTTTGTGGTGGTAGGGATTGAATCTAAGGGATCCTGCATGCCAGGCAAGTGCTTTAGCACTGAGCTACATCCCCAGTGCCACATTCTTTATTCTGTCAAAATATATAGAATAATTAAAACATTAATTTTTTCTTATGCATAGTTGTTTCAGAGTTATTTAAACAAAACTTAAAAACTTTAAGATATTTTATTCTATACTTCTTTCCTAATGAATTAAAGTAAAATTTTTTGGTACTTATGTAAAGGTTTTATCCTAACTCATACCATTTCACTAATTTGATATTGTATTTAAAATTTCAGTGAAAATTTAAAATGGTCGTGGTTCAAAGTCTTTAGAAGAGCTACTCTAACCAGACAACTATGTTGTGGGATAACACAGCTGTGTTGTGGGGCCTACGTTGATTTAGATGGAAATATCTCAAGCTAGCATGCCTTTGGAAAAATCTTAAGCCAAACTTTTAGTTATTTCACCTGCATTTTTAATAATTCCCAAGTAAATGTTGTTCCCTTATTTATTTTCTTTATTTAGTAGTTGACTCAAGTGTGGTATATGTATTTTGCCTTGAGTGATATTTATGGTAGACATGTTAATGTTCATATTATGGCATAGTTAAACTTGAGAATAGCTTGCATAGTACTAGTTATTAGAAACCTTTCTTTCTGAATTGAGCTTATGATTTCCTAAAGCCTTCTTCTCCTTCTCCTTCTTCCCTTTCTTTTTTTTTTTYCCAGTGCTAGGGGGTCCAACTCAGGGCTTGTCAATGTGAGGCAAAAACTCTACTATTGACTGAGCTACATCCCTAGCCCTGAAGCTTTTTTTTGATGTCCTTCTACTGTATCCTTCCCCCCCTTACCCTTCCTTATCATTACCTATCCTTTTATTTACTAGTCTTTGGAGGGTCATTACTATACTTGTATTGCTAACTGCAGAATTGAAGCATCGGCTTTTATCTGTTTGATCTAGTCTATTCTGAATACTTAAGAATAGTAGTAGTTATTGGTTTGGAAACATTGCATCCCTTGATATTCTCCTTGAGAATACCAAGAACTCTTTTGTTCTCTGTTGGGGATCTCATAGCACAGGAATAACTCAAAGGCCCAGTTGGAAACTTGCCTTAAAGATTTTGCTTAATTTTATGCAAAAGAAGGTCCCACAAGGGAATTCTTTAATTTGCTAAGGTCTTGATTTGTGATTGCATACATAACAATTTTTCTAGATTAATTTTCTTTTGAGTAGCTATCAAGCATTTTGGATATTGGTTTAGTCATTGGTAGTGGTGTGAAATCTTTCAAAATAATTCTTGGAGATTTATATTTATGTACGTGATGAGTAAAGTATAAACTGACTAAAGTTAAAATTAACAACTAGTATGATGACTAGAGCATTTTTGATATTCTCTAGAGTTTGGACCTTGTTATGAACTAACTATGAGATTATTTTTGAATCGATCAAGTTTCATCAATCAAGCGATTATTAAAACATATAGACTAATGCTAGGAATGAAAAAGAATTCAAAAAAGTGCAAGGCATAGGTTGCCCATTGGGAACTCAGGCTAATATGGATTAGATAACAACAGGTACATTTATTAAACTATTACTTGGTGTCAGTGTTGTGCTGAGTGCTTAATATACATCATTTTTTAAAAATTCTTAGTCTAATCTTGTTAGATAACTGTTCTTATTGTCATACAAGAGATGATCCCGCACTTGTCACACCTAGTAAGTAACAGAATTAGCTGTTGACCTAGGTTCCTCTGGTACCAAAGCTTTGATTTTTAACTGGTATGGGGTATGAAGCTTTACACACACACACACACACACACACACACACACATACACACAGCTAAACATACAAGACAAACTTTGTTTA